TCACACTTCTGACTGTGCTAAGACTCTGTTACAGTTTCACACAGCTCATTGCTTTCATGTAGATAATTTCATCTCATCTGAACTGATTTTCAATCACTCTATGATATCATTCAGATATATCATAGAAAGATCTGATTGATAAATATAAGAACCTCACTTTTATATAAGATTAGCAGATTACTCTTTCTTAACAATGAGATACTGCTAAGATATTACTCTGACTATTCTTACTTATGAAATAAAAGAAGGTATTCACTTATTATCTATATAGAATAGCTAGATGCTGACTTCTCATCAAAGAAGCTAGCAATTCATTTTTCTTCTACTGAAATATATATGAGAGTTACTGCATGTCTCATACAATCTTCTTAGTATACTAAGTATCATATCTGTGATATTCTCATAATAACTCTGTAGTCTATGAGCTCACTATTCAAGCAAGATAGATAAGCTCACTTATACAGCTTCTCAAACAACTATCTCTACATGTCACTGCTGACTAGTCACCGCTTCGGTTCCGTCACATTACAACTGTAATAAAATAAATTATTAAAAGATAGTATATAGCTGTTTTAACAGACTATATCTGATTGATTTTCTTCTCTTCATATTCAGATATTTCTGAATTTAGCTATTTTCTTATAGCTGCTTGAGTTTCTGATAGAAAGTCTATTAAGTATTTAATTCCTGTCTCAGTTGAGAATAAGAATCTTATATTTAATTGATTTAAATCATACTTCTCTTTTAATCTGACTCTGAGACTATTGCATAACACACAGTATATTATAATATACTCAGAATTCTTATTTATATTGCAGAATAAGCATTCTATTGATTTAAATCTATTATCAAATCTTTGTATATAAGATTTGAAATAGTCATGTTCTAGTTTCAGCTGTATTATAGATGAGAATATTTTCTTTTTACATTTAATTGAACAAGATTGTCACTTGAGTTTTGTTTCAAATCTTGAATAATATATACTCTTCTTTTATTTCTATCAGCTTTCATTTCACTTATTTAAACAAGATTCTTTTATTTTTCTCTTTATAAAAGACTAGAACACAATTTTTTGAATAGATCTGCTTAATTCTGAACTCTTTTTTACAGTTGAATCAGTCAATTCATTACTAGAAATATTCATATAAGCAGAAACTCAGTGTAGATAAATTATCATCTTTAATATTCTTCTCTTTTGAATTTTCAAAACAGAGTTTAAGATCAGTTCAAGATTCATTTAATTATTATAAATCTGACTATTTCTAAGTCTTTTCAAAGCAGTTTGACTATCAGAGAATATTTATATCTCTTTCAAATTATTTTCTCTTTTATAAGATTTTATTTCAATGAGTTTGAAAGCTTTCACTATTGTAAATAGTTCAGCATCAAAGACTTTAGATTTACAGTTCAAATTTCAGAAATCTGAGATAAAATTGATATTATCTTCAGTATAGACAATGTCTGTATCTAATCTATTCAAATTCTTATTTTTGAAGTTATCTGAATAAATCAGAATAAAGTCTTTTATATTAATTGTAGAAATTCTCTTTAAATACTGTTCATATTCTTATTATTATTATTATTATTATTCTTTAATTATAGATGTATGCAGTCAGAGACTATGACATCTATCTGAGAACTTTTAGTTCTCAGGGTTTTTCCTATATCTGTAAAGTTAACTATTATACATTTATCAATTTCAGATATGCTAAATCAGAAAATTTCAGCTCAGAATATAAAAACTGTTTACAAATTGCAGTGTTTTAACATCTTCTGATACTTTGAAATCATTTGACAATATCATGACAAAGGAAAATAGAACACAGTCTTAAAGATAGACACATTAAATAGATAGATAGAAAGGAATTGAAAGGAAAAGATAAAGTAAAGAGAGACTGTAACAAAACAAATTATTAAAAGATAGTATATAGCTGATTTAACAGACTATATCTGATTGATTTCCTCCTCTTCATATTCAGATATTTCTGAATTTAGTTATTTTCTTATAGCTGCTTGAGTTTCTGATAGAAAGTCTATTGAGTATTTAATTCCTGTCTCAGTTCAGAATAAGAATCTTATATTTAATTAATTTAGATCATACTTCTCTTTCAATCTGACTCTGAGACTGTTGTATAATACACAGTGTATTACAATATACTCAGGATTTTCATTTGCATTGCAGAATGAGCATTCTATTAAGTTAAATCTATCATCAAATCTTTGTATATAAGATTTGAAATAGCCATGTCCTAGTTTCAGCTGTATTATAGATGACAATATTTTCTTTTTACATTTAATTAAACAAGATTGTCACTTGAGTTTTGTTTCAAATCTTGAATAATGTACACTCTTCTTTTGTTTCTGCCAGCTTTCATTTCACTTATCTAAACAAGATTCTTTTATCTTTCTCTTTATAAAAGACCAGGACACAATTTTTTGAATAGATCTGCTTAATTCTGCACTCTTTTTTACAGCTGAATCAGTCAATTCATTATCATGAATATTCATATGAGCAGGAACTTAGTGTAGATGAATTATTAGCTTTGATGTTCTTCTCTTTTGAATTTTCAAAACAGAGTTTAAGATCAGTTCAAGATTCATTTGATCATTATGAATCTAACTATTTCTAAGTCATTTTAAAGCAGCTTGACTATCAGAGAATATTCATGCCTTTTTCAAACTATTTTCTCTTTTATAAGATTTTATTTCAATGAGTTTGAAAGCTTTTACTATTATAAATAGTTCAGCATTAAAGACTTCATATTCACAGTCTAAATTTCAGAAATCTGAGATAAAATTGATATTATCTTCAGAATAAGCATCACCTGTGCCTAATCTATTCAAATTCTCATTTTTTGAGTCATATGAATAAATCAGAATAGAGTCTTTTATATTAATTGTAGAAATTCTCTTCAAATGCTGTTCATATTCTTTCTCTTTAAATAGTTCACTTATTTGTAAGTCTATAAGAGATTCAAGCTTTTCTCTTCAGAGAGATAACTTCTCATGATCAACTTTTTCAATATTTAAAGAAGAAAATTGATTTTTAATCAGAGAGCATAGTCTGTACAGTTGAAAAGGCATTTTCTTTGAAGAATTATTTTCATTTCAATCAAGAAATCTATTCCAATCCAGTTCATTTCCAGAGTTAATTGATGGAAATGAAGAAGAGACTCTTTCTCTGATTATATAATTTGAGCTCATCTTTATAACTCTCAGAGCATAGTTTATACAGGCCTTTTCAAATCTAATAGCAGGAGAAGAAATTGAAGCTTCAATGTTCATATTCTTTCTTCTTAGATAGTTCACTTATTTATAAGTCTATAAGAGATTTAAGCTTTTCTCTTCAGAGAGATATCTTCTCATAATCAACTTTTTCAATATTTAGAGAAGAAAATTGATTTTTAATCAGTGAGCATAGTCTGTACAGTTGAGAAGACATTTTCTTTAAAGAAGTATTTTCATTTTAATCAAGAAATCTATTTCAATTCAGTTCATTTTCAGAGTTAATCAATAGAAATGAAGAAGAGACTCTTTCTCTGATTATATGATTTAAGCTCATCTTTATAACTCTCACAGTATAGTTCATACAGACCTTTTTAAATCTAATAACAGAAGAGAGAATTGAAGCTTCAATTTTCATTACTTTAATAGAAGATGATTTGAATGCTTTCAGAATTCTTCTTAAAGCTCTGTTTTACAGACTTTAAAAGAGTTCAGTGAAATTCTCTTAATTATTCAATTAAACTTGAACTTCATAATTAGCTACTGAGATAATACAGACTATATATAACTGTCTCATAGCCTGAAAGAATAGACCTCTCTCTGTATTCATTCAATAAAAGAGACGAAGCAAGAATTTTATATATTGTGCAAGGTCAGGCAATGGCACGGGCCACATTTGCGAGGTCAGCTTACATAACGAGGTCAAGTGGCGCACTTAGCGAGGTCAAGTTTTTGTAGGCTACTGGGGCAAAAGAGCTCAATCACCACCAGCGCACTGCTGGTAGAAGGGCCGACCAACCGCGGGACCCCCAACACCCCCCCTCGGACCAGCTACCACAGAGTACAATACTTCCCCTCAGTGGCTCCCTTCAGTGGCCTCCCCACAATGGCTCCTTTTAATAATGGACTCAGTCAGTCCTAGGGCTCACGGGACTTCTAGGGCACACTCCTGGGATGTCTCTTGGCACTGTTAAAATGTCCAGGGTATTTGTTAGGAATTTTTAAGTCCATTCTGGGATTGAACCCATGCATGTTGACCACAGCGGGGCTCACGCTCAACGGTCTCATAACCTGTAGGCTACTGGGGCAAAAGAGCTCAATCACCACCAGCGCACTGCTGGTAGAAGGGCCGACCAACCGCGGGACCCCCAACAGTTTTCTGCTTCCTGGTGTGACTGGATTTGATGAGAGAGGATGCGGTTTAGAAGAACATTTGACTGCTGGATAATAGTGCAGCTGCTTCTGAATACACTTACAAATGTAAGCAGCTCTAGCAGCTCCACTAATTATTTTACACATAAGGAGCCAGCGTACGCCCATAATCTTACGCTGGCTCAGGCACCTTTTTCAAGAGCAAATTGATAACAATTCTCCTGAGGGCGAGGGTAACTGACCAAAAATATTATTCCAGAGCGGGAACCTGAGCTCTCGGCAACTTTTGAACGGCGCCGGGCTATCTGAGAACTGATTTCGAAAAAAGGGGCAAACCCTTTGGAGACTTTTGTGGCTGACTTTGATAACACGCCCGCGTCTGCTACCTTTCCAACTCTGGTTAGACTATAGGCCGACGGCGGCCCACTAATAAGCTATTAAACCTGAGTTTAGCGGAGCATTTCCAAAGACCTGGATCACCCTATTCAAGTGGGCGCAACCCCTTTTATCCTCTGGGACATGGGGAGAGCTCAAGGTTTGCTCTTCTCGTTTCGAACAGTTAATGCCTAGACAGAACAAGTTCTCACAGCTCTTACCACCAATTAGCTGTGAGGGAGTGTGATTGATACACATACATTTCCCGATGCCCAAGCTTTCCCGATTGTTGTTATTCGCAGCCCACGCCTTGCTGTGGAGGATATTTGAGATTGAGTATGCAATTGAGGAGACTCAATCAGTTAGTTATGGCCGGGGGATGGAATACTGACGCTGCTAATTAGCAGCTTCAATCTCGACTTGGCTCTCTTGGCAACTATTGCGCATTTCGTTACTGGGCGGGTTGATAAGAAACTGCCCAGTCGGTGTCGCTCGTCTGGTGTACGGAGTACGGATTACTGAAAAACGATTTATGCAGGCGTTTTCGGGCAAGCAACAATGATGTGATGAGCCTGCACACTTGCGGACGTCCAGGGCTTGCAGATGCCGCCAAGATCGAGTTATGACTGCCCGGAGTCCCTGGGTTATATTTCTTATGTATGTACAGAGTACGGGAATGTCCATGGACATGTGTACCAACCGCAAGATAGAGATATGAAGCATTATCACCTGCTACTAAGAGAATGCGATGGTCGGAGCTATATATGGTGTAGTGATATAGAAATTAGTTTGTTTTAAACATATTTCAGGATCAATATCTTTTCATTTTCAAAGGAATCAAGTGTAGCGATATCTGGGAACAGGAATCCAAAGAGGGACTGTGTATGCACCCTGTACGGGGTACATATCCAGCCATCTGGAGAATAAAATCGGCGAACTCCCCCCTGAGTTAGCGATTAGGACGCAAGGTCTTCCCCATCTTGTATCAGAGTGTGTGGTCAGTTTCAGCTTATCTTGGAAGAAGATACATATTTGAGACGAGATGTGTTTGAATGCAAATGTTATCTCTGCCGAGAAACCAAATGGATCTCCCTTTTTTCTTTTTCTTTTTTTTTTTTCAGTCTCCCTCTGGCAGCCTTATTTTGTGATTTTTACCTGTTTGCTCCCAGAGATTTCATGTTTGAGGTTCAAGAACTTGGTCACTGAATGAGGGACAGTTGAGACACTTGTAGGAAGAATATGATGATAGATCAATTGTTGCTGCAGAGTAATGTTAGCTCTAGGGATGTGTCGACAAGTCAAGCTACTTGTTGCAGAAGCAGAACCAGCCTTAGATGAAGTTTGATCGGTCTTCTTCCTGCAGCTGCATGAGCGATATCCTGCTTGATGCCCAGCGATCATCACATCCTTGATATGCTTGGCTGGAGCACCGCTGGGAGTTTGAACGCCATAGGCTTGAAAGAAGATATCTCTGACCATGTGAATTAGAAAGATCGAAGCAAGTTTGTTTATAATTCTGTGTAAGTAAGCTTTGTCACCGGCTAGAATTCTTATTGCTCGTTCCCTTTGCTTTTATTATATTCACACAAAATGAATGATTTACTACTGTTTGTGAAAGGGGAAGGGGATGAGTACGAGCAATATCATTGTCTGGGTAAACCTTATGAGAAACTCTTCAAAAACTTTCGGATCTCTCAGAAATCCAAGCAAGCCACTCTGCGCCCAGAACGTCTTTGGCTTGTTGGGCGGATTTTAAGGTTTCGGGGACCGGCATCGTGTTCAGAGGAACCATGCCGTCTATGGAACTGTGTTGCAATTTTTCTAAGTCGAATGAATAATCTTCCTGTCGGAAGAAAACAGTAGTGGATGAGGCTTGACCCTTCCAAAATTCAGGCTATTGAATTGCAAAATCTTATTGGTCCTTGGGCGTTGGCATCTGGGGTTTCCCTCTTCTTGCCCAATTGCTCCTGGGAGTCGCCGAATCGGGCTCTCGCGTCCATCATGCAGCATCTGTTCAGCGGTGCCTTGGTGGGAGAATGCAATATATTATGCACGAAGGACGTCTTTGATTTTGGCCTTCCAGGATCAAAAATGCATTATACACAGTCTATGCTCAGGGCCCTTATTGACCAGGATACTAGTGATAGCCGGGCCAGCCACGGGATCGTGATGGGCTGCGTCAGCCAGTAGCAACCGCCATTCGGGACTCCTGACTTGAACGCCAAAGCGTAATTCTCTCTTGCTCGGTTGCTGAGCCTGTCGTAACCCTTCGTAATTTTCTTGGCTTCGTAAGCTCGACAATGCTTGGCCGGGGAAGAACTAGCTGAATCCTGGGCCTCGAAAGCTCCTAATACAGCGGGGACTGAGAGTATCCCTTCTATTGGGGATAGCGGGTTCCGAAGCGTGAAAGGTTTTGTAAAAATTTCTAATTCTAGGCTAACTTTTCTTTGCCCTGCAAGGGGGTGACCTTGGGGCCCCTCGACTGGGGAGGAAATTCCCAATTCCGCCACTCACAGTTGCCCGTTAGACTAGCTTGGGGGGTTTCCGCGCTGCAACCTCCAACTTGTGACGACAGCTTGAGAACCCCGTGCCCTCAACTGCGCTTCCGCCTCATGCGCCTGGATTCCAATTGATGCGAAGTTTTTTTCCTCCCCGCAGTGAGAGCGCGCGGATCATTCCTGGGGGGTCTCCAAACTGATGGCCGACCTTCATCCTACCTCACGTAGCGAGGTTGTTCATGATGAGGTTGGGGGCTTAGACGAGGGTCCGGCACGCTTTTAGTGGGCATAATCTGATACCGGACTGTCAGAGTCACTGAGCATACTAGAACCCAGGGGAGAAGAGTACACTAGCCCAGCTTAGCGCAGAGACATTCTTGGGACGGGAACCGGGAGAGCAAGCCACCTTGTCGCCGTCAACTTTCGAGTTTCTCAAGGCAAGGGGCCTCGAGCGGAATCAGAGCAAAGCTAAAGCTACCGCTGTTCTCTCCACACGCGCTACCAGCAACGTTGGAACGGCCAATCTTGAAGCCTCCACACCGGGTCCAGTCTAAGCTTCGGTTGTTGTGTTTTTGTACTTACTTGGTTGCTCGCTCCACTGCTCGCTCCCTCAGTAGGCTTCTCCACCAGACACTCGCCTCTCACTCTCTTTGCTTCTTCCTCCTCCTTTCTTGCTTTCTCATCTCTCTCTGGTAAACCCCAGGTAGTTTCTTGTTTTGCTTCCTTTCTCTGTCTATGCTTGTGCTGTGGGCTTTTCTTTCTTGTGCATATACCCCATAGCTGCCGTTCTGCCTTTGCCGGTAGTGTACTTACCCCGTCGATCTCCGTTTTCCTGGGAGAAAACCTGATTCATTAATCCCTCGCCTTGAATGAACTGGCCAGGTTTGCTGTCTGGTAGTATACTACCTTGAATATTCGTGCGAGTCGTTGCGGGCATCCATCGTGTTGACACTGAGTGTCGTTGCCCCTCCCGACGTATTCCCTTTTTGGGACATATCTCTCCATCTCTTCTGCTCGCCAACAACGCAGTCTGGATACTGGCGTGTACTGTCTGTCTGTCTGCCGCTGGACAATAAACTGGACGAATAAGATAACAGCAGCATAAGTATCACCATTTAGAAGACATTTTGATAAACGACGCAGGCCGCCAAGCGAATTGACTGTCATCCTTCACTACCCCCGAAATCGAATCTATCGATACCTTCTCTTGTTGCTGGTACGTCCCTCGCAATCGTTCATCCGTTACTACATCGCACATTCCGCTTGACATATACTCCAATTACCATCACCAAAGGATTCCGGTTTGAGTAAACACCTGATTACTTTTGTGAAGAAGTCGAATAATCCACAGGGGATCCTAACATCGTATCCACAGGTTTTCAATCGTTGACGATCAAACTCCCTCCCCGCATAAAACCGACCGGTTGGACTTCTCCAGTCCATGGACAATGTGTGATTGTATCCGTTCGCAAAGATAATAGAGCTCTTGTTATCAACGCTTCTCGGAGTTTAAAGGATTGACGTTTCTGGTGTATTATCCATGGAGATTCTTGATGACCATGTTGCTCCCCTTAACGTTCTGAAAGGCAAAGCTCATGCACAAATGCACATCGTGCCCCTTCCTAACCGCATTATCCCGAGCAATATGTTTTCCCCACTGCCATCACAGATGCATGTAACGCCCCCTCTAACGCCGCATAGCTCGCTGGAAGATATTGTTGAGCGGCGCAGTCATGACGTCTCCATATTCCACAATTACCTGCGCGCGTTCTACCCCTTCCAACCGAATGCAGGAGTTTCTTCATCGACGGTTACTCTACCCTTGGACCAAGGGGATATAATCCTGGTGCATTCAATTCATACCAACGGCTGGGCTGATGGTACTTTGCTGGACAGCGGTGCTCGTGGCTGGTTGCCGACAAACTATTGCGAGGCATACGACCAGGTTCCTATGCGACCCTTGCTAAAATCGTTGACTGATTTTTGGGACACTATTCGTGGGGGGTCCGTGTCCACCCTCCATCAGTTTACCAATCAGGATTATATGAGGGGACTGATAGCTGGTGTACGGTTTTTACTGGTTAGTAAACTTATTGTCCCTTGACCTCAACTCCAACTGATCGAGATGACTAGGAAAAATCCGAATGCTTGACACGAGATTGCCACTTAGTCCAGAAATTTGATAACTTGCGGAGAAACAGAAAGGCGCTCCTTTCAGATCTGTCCTCCTTGGTAAAACTAGCAAAAAAACTACAAGATGTTGCGAATGGCGGGCAACTTGATGGGTCTCTGGACACGATCTTCGACCAGATGCTGTTCAAAGCTTTCAAAATCATTACCCGAGGAGTACGGTTCCTGGATGTCTGGAATGAAGAGATTGGTCTAAGTAGAGCCATCGCAGAGCTGGATGTTCCATCCGTAAGCCTCGGCCACGATATATACGACGTGCCATTAACACCACCTGTGGACGCGTCGTTCTCGCCCGGGCCTACTATGGGATCTACGGTTTCCTCTGGTTTATCCTTTAGCATCAATGGGGTCAGCACCGTTCTAGACCAAGGGGACTGCTCGGAGGGTACCCACGGTTCAATCGAGCAGGCAGGATTGTACAACGCCCATAATGCTCGAAAACCGCAATCCATCCAGCCCAAGAGGATATCTATTTCACACCGTATATCTTACAACGGATCATCCTCCACTCAAAATCCTAAGCTTGCCTCCACGCTACTTGCCTCCGCCTACGATGAATTCCTTGGTGTGCTTGGTTCATTTATTGGTCTCCATCTTCAATCTCGGTCTTCGACCGAACTTCTTCTGACGACACAAAAGGCAACGCAGTCCTGTCGAACATTGCTCACGATAGTCGGAACTATATGCGAGCGGGATCTCCATCGTTCGGACCTCCTGGAACGATCTAAAAATACGTTGTATGATAGGATTACGGAGCTTGTCCATGCAACTCGGGATGTCTTTCGACCAGCAAACGCCACAGACGACGAGGTTGTATTCATGCCAGATGAGGGAAAGAGGCTTGTTGATGCAGTGACTGGGTGTGTTCGAGGAGCTGGCGACTGTGTTGCGAAGGCAAGATATATATTTGAGCAGAGTGGTGATTTTGAGCTAGAAAGTATAGGGCTCGGTATTACTGGATTGAATCCGGACAAGCATGAAAGCTCTACTGACAGCCGGTACATTGATGATTCGGAAGATCAAGCAAATGGAGATGACCAAATGGAAAATGTGGATGATGGCAATGAGGTCTCTGTGCGGTCGGCCTTGCCACGCATCCTAATACCAAACAAACAACTCCCTTTTACCCCGGACCTGACTGGTGGTGCTACTCCATCCTCTGAATACACCAGCGCAATGGCCCAAACACCAACCTCAGCGCTAGGCGAACCACTGAACTTGGATATTTCTTCATACGATCATCTTGCGGATGCCTCTGCTTCTTCTGAACATAGCAATGCTTTTGCTCCTTACCATGCTACTTCCCCTGAAGATTCCCATCCCTCGGATATGTGCCATGCCGGGACGACGGCGGATTTAACAAGTGTAGCAAGCGAAACGACTTACGTGGACAGTATTCGAGATTCGGAGGTGAGTACTGTTTCCCAGGCGTCGACTCGAGTCACAACACCCGATTTCAACAAACCACTCCCATCCGCCGTTGCCCACAGCAGCTTACAGAGTTCTCAGTCAACCCTAATCGAGGAAGGCGATGATGGGGAGAATTTGTTGGAAAAGACTTACGCCCAGGAGCTCATGTTCAAGGACGGCCAGGTAATCGGAGGTAGCCTTAGGGCCCTCATCGAAAAACTGACTGCTCACCAATCCACCCCCGATGCTCTTTTTGTTTCCACCTTTTACCTCACGTTTCGACACTTTGCAACGCCTACCGACTTTGCTGAAGCGTTGATGGATCGTTATGATTATATTGGGGATAATCCCGAAGCTGCTGGTCCCGTTCGTCTTCGAGTCTACAATATCTTTAAGGGTTGGCTTGAGTCACATTGGCGCCATGACTGTGATGATGTCGCTCTTCCCTCAATACTGAAGTTTGCTCGGAGCAAACTGATGCTCGTCTTGCCCTCGGCGGGGAATCGGCTTGTGGACCTTGCAGAAAAGGTATCCACTGTGCATGGCCCAGTGGTTCCACGGCTTGTGTCTTCCATGGGCAAAACAAATACGGCTGTTGGCCAATATGTTAGCCCCGATGTTCCTCTTCCACCACCACTCATATCTAAGAACCAACTAAACCTATTGAAACAATGGAAAGCTGGGGGTCAGCCTATCACTATACTGGACTTTGATGCTTTGGAACTGGCGCGACAGTTTACGCTCAAGGAGTCTAGGATATTCTGCTCCATCCTTCCAGAAGAACTGCTAGGTACTGAGTGGATGAAAAAATCCGGATCTCTTGCAGTTAATGTCCGAGCCATGTCGACGTTGTCGACAGACCTAGCTAATCTCGTAGCCGATTGTATTTTACAACAAGAGGAGCCCAAAAAGAGAGCCGTTATCATCAAACAATGGGTCAAGGTCGCGTCTAAATGCTTGGAATTGAATAACTACGATTCTCTAATGGCGATTATCTGCTCCCTTAATTCCTCTACCATTTCTCGGCTGAGACGCACTTGGGAGCTGGTTTCACACAAGACGAAGATTTTGCTGGAACAATTGAGGGAAATTGTGGATGTTTCTAGAAACTATGCTGTTCTTAGACAACGGTTGCAGGGCCATGTGCCTCCATGCCTACCTTTTGTCGGAACCTACCTAACCGACCTGACCTTCGTGGACCACGGAAATCAAGACACACGAGCACTCCCGACTGGCGATGGAAGCAAATTGGTCATTAATTTTGATAAGCATATGAAAACAGCGAAGATCATCAGTGAACTTCAGCGTTTCCAGATACCGTACCGACTTGCTGAAGTTCCTGAACTGCAGACTTGGATACAGGATCAGCTCGTTCGCGTCCGTTCTGCGGGAGAGAAAAGCTTTCAGAATTACTATCGACGCTCCCTAGTCTTGGAGCCCAGAGAACAGCCCCTCCAGCGTAGTAGCCCTCGAGAGCCCAACCCAGCTTTGGCTCGTGAAACTCCCAAGGACAAGTTCGATTTCCTCTCGTGGGCCCATAGTTCCAAGACGAAGACGGTTACTTCTCAGGGCTAGTTTTCTTGTACTGGAAGGCTTTATTCGCCATAATTGGTAAACAGACCCTCTTACGCGTTACGATTTGACGACCATGATACTCCCTTGATTCTTCTCTTTCCATCATTTTATTCGCACTCGTCAATAGTTTTTGGCTTGATCTTTTTTCATGTGTACACACCTTTCTACTCTTTTTTTTTCAATTCAGATATCCCTTGGACGTAATAAATACACCCCCTTTTTTGACTTTTTTTTTGCTTTTTTTTTTTTTTTTTTTGGCCCGGGAGGGGGGGCGTAGTTGACGGCCACTGTTTTCGGTTTCTCTCTTCACGTTTTTCTAACGGTATAAACTGGGAGAATGGATGTACAACCTCATTTCGGGAAAACATACAGCAGGAAA